GTTTACTGTGGGCTTCGTCTATTTCTTTGTCATTAATCGAAGGTTTTGTGAGTAAGCGGCATGCATCAACAAACAAAATCCAATTTTCGAGATTCTTGGCTGGGAGCACATGCTTCAGAACAAATGGAGAGTATATGATGCACCACGACTTCCACTCGTCAGCTTTCATGAATGAAAACCCATTGGCAATCTTCTTTGTTATACGCGCATATCCACAAGGTACAACAATACCATTGGCAAGCTCTTGGATAGTTAACTGATTCTTTTCATTGATGTAGTTACACTCGCACCATATCTGAATCATTCGCTTTGCAGTTCCAAGATAGAGGTTATGCATCGGGTCTATAACTGTAAAGCGGACTGGGTCAAAGTAAGATAATCGATGAAGGTCTGACCACCGAGTGCCATTTTCTTTTTCTAGGTATGTTCGCTCAGTATTGTTCAATGCATTTGCCCAGCTGACAGTGTGTTCCAGATTCATTGTCTTCGTGCGTCTCACCCAAATGCTATACTTGAATCCAGAGTAGTCAAGCTTGCTGGTCTTCTTTATAGTTGTGAATTGTCGTTGACATTTGTGACAGGCGCATGTGCTCATGTGGCCAGTAAATCCAGAGGTTTTGCGAGTGGCAGGGATATCACAGGCAACACACATTAATGCAGCACAAACAACAATCTTTCTATTTTGTGAGTCTGTCATTTCTACACCAATGTACATCTCCAACAATTCGTCAACGAGTGGCTTCAAGTAATGATTCATGCTGTCAGTGCTTGCTTCCTTCGGCCCAGGCATCATACCAACAAGAATGACATTTTCAGACTTAAGGCGTTCACTCCGTGGGAGATTGTTGATAGAGAGATATATCGCACCACTGGAATGTGTTCATCCATCAAATGGCTGAAACCAATCGATATTCAGAGTCAACATTAAAGATCGGCTATCATCAACAAACCATCTGCCATTGATGTCTTTAATATCACTCCAAACTGCACCATCGAAAATGTCAAGTTTGGTGTTTTCAATTATTTGACGATTTCTCCACAAATTGATTTTGGACACGAAATCTGGCTTGGAGAATTTTTGTTGCAAGGCGTACTTCAGAGAGTTGAATGGATATACCATTGCTGGAAGAGAACGATTTCCGGTTGACACTTTAAAGAGATTGTTGTTGCAAATGGCGGATTGAGAGAATTTCTTAAATGTACAGACTCTTTGACTTGTTTCCAGAGGATAAATCGAATGACATTGTGAGCATGCAATGTATACTGTCATTCCGTCTGTTTCCATGTTAAATCCTGTCTTATGCTTCAAGCTATTGATTGTCAGTGGAAGGGCGCCAGACATATCACAGAGAGACAGTAGAGTATTACAAAATTCAATGAGAATCGATCCACCGCTTTCCACCAAAAAGATCAAGTGAAATATGACAATGAATACTGCAACAAAGCGGATATACAAGGGCATGTTATCAAAAGACGAAGGACGAACTATGAAGACAAAGGTTAAGTTAGTTTAAATTAATATATTGATTAATTTTCTATACCTTATTAATTCATACCTGATTCTACTATCAAGGTCCCACTGGTCTCATCAAAGTTTTCTTCTTGTTCAAAATCAAAACTGGTATCACCTTCTTTAATCTCATTACCATCAACCACAAATGCTCCTGTAATTGTATCTTTGGCAGTAAAGATGGACTCTTCTTGAGACAAAGGTAAGTCAACTTGAAAGGAATAATTGTTGTAAAGATGTAGAAATAAAAATATAATTACAATTATAATCATATAAAAAATAAAAAATAAAAAATAAAAAAAATATATATCAGTTTCAATTATTATTTTGTTCATTTATTTTATTTTATTTTCTTACCTTCTTGATCAAATTCAATGTTTTGTTCTTCATTTTCGTCTTCATATTCGCCTTTGCCTTCGTTCTTGTAATCATAATCATTGTCATTGTCACTGTCAATACTATCTACTTCCATGTCATCAAAATGTTCTTCAGGAACATCTATTTTATGAATTAATTTACATTAATTTTACATGTACAGCTCGAATTATTCTTGTTATTTACCCATTGCATCGTCTTTGGCAACAGGCACTATATGTTTCTCATAGTGTCATTGTGCATTTTGTCTTTTCTGTTTCTTTCCACAGCTATCCAACTTTGTACAGTCTGGACATTTGCAGATAACATAACTGTCTTTCTTTTGATTATTGGACATGTCGGTTGTTTTAAATTATAAAAAAAATTATATAGATTTTAAGAGATCTTGATCAAGGTATTTATATACCAAAAAAAAATTATAAATATATAAAATACTGCTTCATGCCATGACTATAGTATGCCAAGTAATTCTTTGATACATCTACTGCACGTATCATCATAATTATACTCATATATCGTTAAGTCATTAATCAAGTCAAATACTGTGTACATTACTAAAAGTGTACGCAATTTTTTTTAAAAGTCTTTTTTTAGAATTATAATATTTGATATGACGATGATTCGACCATGACGAAAAATAATCCAAAAATGAAACATTCGCCTCTCACAACATGTGAAATAAAAAAATCTGATATTTTAGTTTCATATATCAAAGGGAAAAATCACACAAAAATATTGCCACAGTAAAAATGAAATCACAACCTTTTGTCTCGTTCCCTTGAAATATATTGATTAAATATGTTCTTATATTCACATTTATAATACATAAAAAATATTTAAATGATTTATTTTGAAATAGAAAAAGTGAAACGTTAAGAATATATATAATTTTTATTAAATATTATATTAACTTTTGTATAAGTGTTTTTTCAGTGTAATTTAGAATTATATCAAAGAAGTGTATAATATAAAAAAAAACCCAATTTTGTAATTTTATGGCCAAAAAAATGACGGTAGTGTGATTTTACAGCTAAAAAAGAGCGATCTGAAATCACAACAGAAAAAAATAGAAATTATTTGAAAAAATTAAAAATCAAAAATTGTAGTAAAATTTTTGCAGGTTTTCAGGAACTAAAATCAGCAGTCTTTTGCAGTGATGCATATAACCATTGCTGGTGACTTTAATGTTGATTTCACAAAAGAATCAATCAAGAAAACAATGTTACTTCAATTTATTAATAACAAAAATATGACTACTATGCTCCCTAACGCTATTCAATCAACAACAAGCCAGAATACTCTTATTGACAACATCTTTTCAACTATGTCAGTGCTGGATTCAGGAAGATACATATCTTTGACCAGTTACTATTCTTCTTTGTGGGCAAAATTTATGTAAATTATGCTAATTTTTTTATACTATTCTTTATGCTTTTATTTTTTACTTATTTCGTAATTATATTTATATGCCTACTTCTCTATGTTTTCTGTTCTCTATGCTTCATGTTTTTTTATACAAATAAAACCAAAATAAAGTGACACAAGAAAAAAGAGAAAACCAAGTATATCAAAATATAAAACACCTTACTTGATATAGACATCGGTCTAAGCCGAGATGGTTTTACTATGAATCATTTCAAAATTAGGACAGAAGAATAATTTTTATAACTATCCAGAACACTATATATTACTATTAAAAACTTAAAAAACAAATATGTTAAAATAAATTAGAATTAACTCAGTCAGAGAAAGTCAGTGCTTGGCTGAAAGGGTAAAAAGGAAATAGAGAACTTTTGAAGAAAATAAAAGATAATGTCTGTTCACAATAATGTTGGTAATATTTATACTATTTTATGAAATACTATAATATCTTAGCTTCTGTATAAAGTTCTTTTTACTGTAGTATCTTGCTGAGTAGTGCTCCTCCTTTGCTCACTTTTGCTCACTCAATGCCTGTAATTAAAGTAGTTACTTCTGATTGAAAAGCATTGGAAATGAATCCTAATTCTAATTCATTACTCATAGTTGCTGACTTAGGGCTCACAACAATATAACTTAGATCTTATTTTTAAGTTTATTAAAATATAAATATATATATTTGTATCTCTTTGAACTGTATGCTTATTTTTATGTGTTTAGAATAAGTAATGAAATTAGAGCACATAGAAAAATACAAAAGCAACAAAAAACGTTTGGTGCAACATTAAATAATTGACAATTCTAATCATTTTATAAATTTAATTACAAATATTAGATGTGAAATTGAGTAAAAGGGGCAGTTTAGTAAATCTAAAACATTTAAGTATTTATTTATATATACTAACAAAATATGTTTGGTGCATACGGACGCATACACAATACAATTTGTTTTTGTAAACATATTGTGCACACTTTGCGCACATATGGACGCACACATAAATCGAAATTACTTTTGTGTTGTGTTTATTTTATTTCGGATGAAGTGATGATATATATTGTATTGAACCAATGTATTAATACACTCTCCCAAAAGATTGTTTGGACTTCGGGGAATAAGTTTCCCATACCAAAACGCATGTCATGTATTTAACATGGAACTACTTGTCAGTGGGTATAACTAAGAGCTTGAAACTTAGAATATAAGAATATACTATAGGTGCTTTTGGAGTGCATTATTGATATAGAATTGCATATTGATATAGATACTAATCACTTTATATATGATAGTGTTAATTACCAAACATAGGTGATCTTCATATAATTTTTAATTGGTGTTATAATCAATACTATACTACTGATCTATTTTCTTTGAAAGGATAATGAATCAAAGCTTTTTTATTTGCTTTTACTATTATACATATAAATATTTATTACTCTGAACAATGTTCTTAACAAGCTCAAACCATTCATATAAACATTTGTCTAACGAAAAGATGGAAGTAGTTAAACTTCTTGTTAAGTAATCTGCTGAAAGTCATAAGCAATTTATATAAAAAAAGTAACTGATGGTAAGGAATATAATGTTAAAGAATCCAAAGACGTTAAATCCAAAGGCGTTAGATATGAAAATGCTAAATAAATCAAGATTATATTATCTCTTAAGCAAAATATTGACAATGAAGAAGATAAATATATAATGACATTTTTTCCAGCTATCAATAAGTTTCACATGAACAAGATCTTAAAATCAATGAGGTTAATCAACCAAGATATTTTCTTTTTGATCTACATTGGAGGTGTATCTATGATTCAAGAATGACCTCTAACTCATAGACATGCAGATCAAGAAACATATTGCTGGTGGACAATTGATTGCCTCAACTTGATGGATGAAAAGACTGGAGAGCATAGCTTCACGGCTCATTATCACATCATCAAATCAACATTTGAGATACTTGTGAACGCCCTCAGAAATACTGCAGCATATGCAAGGTCTGATCGTGAGCAAGATAATGTCTGCAGTGTTTCCAGCAGGTAGCTGTTGTTTTGTAGAGATTTGCCAATACTCATTTTGGTTACCAAGTTGCTAAAGCAATACTTGATGTTAGTCATGGGTCTTATAGCAAGTTTACAATATGTTTTAGCAATACCATAGGAAAAGACATGCTCAGCAAGACTATTGTATAGTCATCTATGATTGAGAAGCAAAGGGAAATTGCTAATGGCTTTGCTTCTCACACAAGTAATACAGATCTTAATCATTTGAAGGATGTTGTTGGAGCCATTGATGACAAGCTTATACAAATTCAAAAGCCAAGCATAGATGGTGATTGATACTTTGATCATAAGTATAATACATGTATGAGTCTGATAGCTATATGCGATCATGAAAAGAAATTTTTGTGTATTTCTGTTGGTGTGCCAGATAATACATGTATTTAATTTGATCATATAATATAATACTTATCTTCTAACTTGATCTCTTCAGGAAGCTTTTGTGATGCTAGAGTCTTTAAACTAGGTCAGGTATATGAGGACATGGTCATCCGAGATGAAGAAAGAATATAGTGTCTTGGTGAGACTTATATTATTGGAGGTATATAAAGTTTAATATTAAATGGTCTCCACATTAATTTCATATTATTATATCTCATTGCATATGTTTAATGTTTATTTACAGATTCTGCATATTCTCTTCTTCTTTAGCTCATGACTCTGTTTTCTAGCAGAGGCACTACCCTTCTACAAGCAACACAAGGAAGAAGAGAAAGGAGAGTAACAAGAGCAACACGAGTAGCAAGACCAGAAAGAGTAATCACAGAAACGAGAGAAGTGATAGCAGCTTGTAAGAAGTATAATAAAATGAAATATTCTACGAGACAAAAAATTGAAAATACCTTTTCTCTCCTGATATCTTGATGGATGTTTATGTATAAGCATTTATATCTAATCAATACAAAGAATATGATAATAGTTATCACGTCTTGTTGTATTCTACACAATCTGTATATTGATAATGGAGACTATATTACTGCAAACCCAAAGGATGATGCAGATATTTATAGATTCCTAGATATCTATGTAAATGATGAGATATCTTTATCAGTTGGGCCACTGAATGATACTGATGTTTCCCAACATTTTATTTCGAACGACTTTCCCACTGAATTAAGCCTCAATAATTGTTTGAGGCAGCTGAAAGAGCATGGAAAAATAAAAAGAAATGAAGTTATGTACAGCTTGTAAAGTACATACTTTCCAAAATATTGTTTGCCTTATTTTCAGTTTTCTAGTATAAATTGATGAAAATATATAATATTTATTTTAAGCATTACCATCGGCATTGCACTGGGTACAGCTTCTTTTCTCATTTTGCTAAACAGCAATTGACAAGAGATGTGTCATGCATTGTTGCTCCAAAAGAAATGCATTCTCTCATCTGTTTCTTTTTCTTTATCAGCCGCTCTTTCTGCAGCTTCTCTCTCCTTTCTCATCTCATCTCTCTGCTTCCTCATCTTATTTCTCTCCATATGTTCTTTCTCTCTCTGCTCTTCTCTATTGCTTCTTTCCATCTGCACTTTAAGCATTTTAAACTCTGTTTCACTTCTTCTCTAGGTCATCTTGACTCTTCTCTTCTTTTCAGCCTGTTTGTTGCAGGTACCAAGGAAGGTCTCAGTAAACTTGTGTATTGATACTCTTGAATCTTCCATGACCTTGTCATAATTTGAGCTTATGAGCTCCAAGATAGTATCATACCAATCAATACCAGATGTTTGAGTCTGTCAAGTTGACACAGAAAAGGCCACAGGGTCTGGGCTTCTTGCAACATGGCTTTTATCAACTACTAAACCTTCATTAATGATTTCCAGAGGCTGTGATGTTGCAAGGTATTCTCTAGTTATTCTTCTGCTTGAAGAGATGCTAGTGACTGTGACTGCTTGGGTGATTGTGCCACTTGAAAGAAAGTTTGAAACGAAGTATACAACATTGTTCAAAGTGATCTCTCGCATTTTCTCATACTAAAGTGATGGACAGAACCTATGGTCACAACCAGTTTGGAGATATGTCCTATCAGCTTCTTTTTTAAAAGCCTTTTTCATTGCTTTGAACTTGTTATTGCACTTGTTGGAGTCCACATTCGCTTTAAAAGAAGCTAGCAGGCTGCTAAAGTTGTTACCATTCTTGAAAGTCTCCAAGAAGGACATCCGAATATGGCTAACTTTTCTCTTGCATCCATTTGCATATCAGACCTCATCGTAGACATCAGTGCCCAAGGCAACTTTTAAAAGCAATGCTGTAGTATCTTCATCCCAGCTGATTTTGGTTGATGAAGCAGAGGAATCTTGTACACTGTCAGTATCCTCCAATGCTTGGACTTCCTCAGAGTTTTCCACTTCATCTATATCTTCTACATTCTCATTGTCTTCTTCTTTGCCATTTCTAATCGGTTCATTGTCTGAGACAGTCAGGTCCCCATTTGTCTCAATGATGCTTTCAATATGGGTGGACTAAGAAGGATATCTACCACGCATTCCAGGTTGAGTGGTGTTGATGGAAACAAATAGACGATTGGTATTTGGCATTTTTTAAAATAAATAGAAATATAAAAGGAACAAGGGAATGAATAATAGAAAAAAGTAGTAAAATAAAACAATTCTCATACAAAGTGCCAATAGTAACTGATGTTTATTACCATATATAGGTATTAGAAAGATTTAGCCCTCATCTTTAGCAGGGGTTAAATATACGGACTTTAAAATGAAATAACCTTTTTTGGATTTTGTAAATCACTATATATGATGTTTAGTGTCTATATCAATAAACCATCTCAAGAGCATCTTATAAGAAATAACAGGCTTTAAACCCCAAATCTGCAACTTTCTTTTAGATCAATAATATGTCACATATTAGCCTATCAGCCTTACTTTTGAACAGATGCTATTTATATAATTTTAGATTAAGTCAAATATGATTAATGACATTTAATATTATTTTTGCATCTAATTCAATCAAACATAGTAAATATAACAAATATATAGCTTTTTTTAGATAACTCTATTCTTATAATTATGTCAAAAAATTCAGAGCTTTATATTGAAATTTTATAGTTTTTATTAATCAAAATAATAGAAGTTGAATATAAAGAAGTATTAAAAGAAAAAGTATTAACTTTTATGATATTTAATAACTGTTTAAGCTTAAATTACTAAATAATATACATTCTATTTTTAAGTTATATTTTTTAAGCTTTTTATCTAAAGAAAAGACTATTTACTAAGTACTATAATATTGATAAAGACATATATATTGATTAATTGATTTTTTATATCAAACAGTATATGATATAGCTATTTTTCTATCAATTCTTTTAAAATTTTTTTTGCAAACTTTATGGACTTATATTCTATTAATACTGTTATATTTGGGTTTAATTTTAGAAAAGAGACAAAGAAATAAAGTGAGACTTTGTATAGTGGTTTTATTGAAAAAGAAAAAGAGAAAGTTGGTATTGGTTAAGATGGTCTTCTAACTATGACAGTTACACCCTTTTTATAAGGCGTCTTTATTCTCAGATCTGTATTTATCATTGGCTTCTGAGATTAATACTGTGTTTTTGATAGGACTTGTTTTATAAAAATTTATATGACTGTCAAATACAACAAATACTAGTGTTAATTGCAATTCAGTATGTTTTTTTTAGACGTCTTTAATAATTTAGACTTCTGTAAATAAAAAATAAAAAGAAATAAAAAAAAAGATATAAAATAAAAAAGTAATTATCAGATTAAAAAGCAATCACAGTCATTTCATTTTAATAGCAAAGACTTCTTAAAGTTCAAATTAAAAATGTAAGTAATCTTGAAGACAATGTTTATTCTTTATTCAACTTTGTAATCTGTAAGTAATCTAGTATATAATATTTATCTAAAATGACTTTCTCAATTAGAAATTAAAGAAATATATTTGAATTATATTTCAAAACAATAAAAAGCTCAAAGTACACTATATTTGGTAAGGTGATAGGAGTTTAAACAAAGTTGTAGATTTTTATTAAAAGTTACTTTTTTTTTTGAAATTTACAGCAACTTTTTGGCGTTCTATATGGAGTTTACGGAGTTAGAAAGCCTAAGAAAAAGGGGTAATCCGTAACAATGTAAACAATGATTTTGTAACAATTTTGTATGCGGAGTTTATTACAATTTTAAGCAGTGAAAGTTTGTAAGAATTTTACTAGTAAAAATGTAAACACTTTAACCACGTGACGCTTTTGATTCTTCTTTATAGCTTACTAAGCATATTATACTTTCTTCTTACTCTTACTTTTACTCTTATATTATATTATTATAAAGTACAAAATGCCTAGACACACTGTTACCCCTGAAGAAAGGGCTGAAAGAAGACGAAGATACATGAGAGAATACCAGCGTAATCGTTGGCAATCATTGCAAGTGGAAACATCAGAAACAGAAACACAACAACGGAATTCAATGTCTCAAGCAGAGTATATGTGAGAGTATCGGTGGAATCGCCTGCGAACTGCAGAAATGGAAGTGATAGCAACAGTAGAAGCAGAGAATATTAGTAATTCTCATGCAGAATATATGCGGGAGTATCAACGCAGATGCCGACTTACAGCTGAAATAGAAGTAGTTCAGGCAGAAGTAGTGAGAGCACAAGTAATTCAAGCAGAAGTAGTGGGAACAGAAGTAGTGGAGACAGAAGCGGCAGAGACAGAAGAGGAGAACCATAATTCTCGAGCAGAATATATGCGCGAGCATAGACGTAGTAGACAAAGTAGAGCTATTGAAGAGAATGAGCGAGTAGTAAGAAGGCGTAGACTGAATGACGTTGGCACAAATAATTGGAGTAGTATACAAAGAAAGTATGAATCAACAATCAGAGAGGGTCCTACATGCATATGTGGATGTTGTGGAGGCCTTTTCTTTCAAAAAGATATATCTTCAGTAAAAAGAACCGCTCTTACAGGCAATTGAGGTTGTTCACAAGATATTGTTGAGAAAACTTTTTGGGCAATTGACAATCATAAGATACCAAGCACTTTCGTTGGTGAAGATATTATAGACAATATTCCACTATGTCCTACCTGTAAAACATCACTTAAGAAAAAAACACTTCCAACTCTTGCTCTCTCTAATGGTCTCCACTTTCCTGATCATGTCGTTTGTCTAGACGACCTGACAAGATTAGAAGAAAGACTTGTTGCACCTCGACACGTTTTCCAGTCTATATGGATACACAAAGGACTAACTGGGCAGTATAGAAGTAAAGGCGGTATTATCAACGTACCTGTTAATGTTGATACAACGGTTTCATTACTTCCTCGTAATCTTGATGACTCAAATACAATTCACTTGAGTTTAGCTCGTAGGATGCGTTATATCAAAGACTATATCAGAGGAAATATAAGTCCCGCTAAAGTTTGGAGAGCAGCACTATTTCTACAGTCAACAACACTCTATCAAGAGTATAATATCTCCTTGAGTGATAATTGGGTACAAGAGGTTGCCAATAATGATACTGAAAACGTAGAAGAGGTTGATAGGGTTGAAGACTTTGAAGGAAATGAAGAAAGTAGTACCGAACACGAATCAATAAACTCTAGTGAGCAGGAAATGGCTATAGTTTCAGATCATGAAGCTCTCAGACTTTCGCCTGGAGATGGAAGAATCCCTTTATCTATTTTGACTGATAAAGACAGCGACTTTTTGGCTTTTCCTCAAATCTTCTGTGGCCAGCAATTATCTACTGATACTCTGACATACTCTTTCCTGACAAAGTCCATTGCAAGGAGATTCGATCGTAGAGCAGCACAAAGAGTAGAGTATATACTGTATATGGACAGAAAAAATCAAATAATCAGAATGTGCAATAACCTAAATACAGTTCGGAAGAAAACAAAACTTTCCAACAATGTACCATACGTTGCATCCAACTTCTTAAATAATGACAGTATTGATGGATTGCTCAGTAAAGACCAGGCTTATAAGACATTTAGTGGTATCCGTTCTACTGCAGAATATTGGAAAAACGAGAAGAAAAATCTTTTGGCAATGGTTAGACAATTTGGTATCCCAACAATTTTTGTAACTCTATCTGCAGCAGAAGCAAGTTGGTCTGAGCTATTATGCATATTAAAACTTGTAACTGATGGAGTTGCTATTACAGAAGAACAGGCGGAGCAAATGACATATGATGAAAAAGCCAAACTGATTCAGCAAGACCCAATAACATGTGTACAATACTTTGACTATCGATTTAGACAGCTGAAGAAAACATGGAAAGCACCATATGGGCCTTTTGGAAATCATTCCATTAATGAATATTACTTCCGAATAGAATTCCAGCATAGAGGCTTGCCTCATGTTCATATGCTTGTATGGCTTGAGGGCGCTCCAAAGTACGAACCTGACCAACAGACAGACGAATCTGTTCATAAGGATATGAAAAGAAAAATCTGTGAATTTGTTGATAGTATGATTACTTGTAAGAGACAATGGGGTGAAATACCGCATCATCAACAGGAATATCGCTGTAATGAGGACACCTGGAAAGAATCGCTGAAAAGGCAATGTCATATGCACATATCTACTTGCCAAAGAAAAAGAAACAATATTACAATTTGCAGATTTAATATTCCATTTTATCCTATGGACAGAACTCGGATATTATGCCCAATAACTGAAAACGAAGGTCTATCAGAAACTACGATTACCAAATTAAAGCAAAATATGACTCGCATCAAAGGATATCTCCAAGAATATTATGAAGCTCTTCAAACGTCAGCCATGAGTTTTGATGGTTTCTTAATAGCTGTTGATATCACATCTATTGATGAATACATACTGTCTATCCACAATACTCTTAAAATGAATAAAATCATAATAAAACGACAACTGAACGAAGTCATGATAAATAATTATAACGAAAAAATTTTCAGTATGTTCAGATCAAATATGGATATTCAATTCATTCTCGATCCATATGCTTGCTGCGCATATGTAGTTGACTATATAAACAAGGCTGATAGAGGCTTAAGTAAGACGCTTGAAGAAATTTACAATAAGCACAAAGATGACAGTAGCTTGACACCTTTTAATATGATGAGATCACTTGCTGTGACCTATTACAATGCTAGTGAGATATCTGCTCAAGAAGCAGCATACAACTTACTACGAATTCGAATGTCAGAAGCGAGCACAGCTACAGTATTTATACCAACAAGCAGACCAGAAAACTGACTTCACATATTAAAGAAGCAATCTGAACTTGTAGCAATGGATCCCAATTCTACCAGCTGCTTTGAACCAGGATTAATTGAGCATTACATTTGTAGGCCCCAAGATTTGGAGAATTTGACCTTGGCACAGTTTGCTGCTTATTTTGAGTTTTCAAAAAAGCAACCATCAAGAAATACTGCAACTAATTATATCGATCACAATGACATAAATGATGATACTTATTATGAGCCCATAGAAGACCAAGAAGACCATATTCAACAGAATAATAACAAAAACACACTTTATGGAGAGCCAGGCCAAGTGTATTGTCTTTTGGAAAACCAAGGCTACATTAGAAAAAGAACTAAGCCGCGTGTCCTACGTTACTACAAGTTTAATATTGATCAAGATGCTGACGAGTACTTTCGTTGCTTATTGATGCTGTTCAAAAGTTGGAGAAATGAAGAAGACCTTTTAAGTATCAACTGCGAGGAAGTTTTTCTAGAGAATTTTGAGACTATTCTGCTAGCAAAAAAAGAATTTTGTCAGGTTAACGATGATGTACTAGAAGGTTATTTTGAAATGGCTTCACTTGAACATAGTAACATGGATACAGAAAGAGAAGATGAACCCATTGGAAACACAGATACCCTAGCCCCACCTATTGCTGAAAACAATTTCAGACGTTACACACTAGATATTGATGACAATGAAGAAGGAGAGTATCACAGAACAACAGATTTAACAATCGAATTAAATCCAAATGGAGCTACACAGAACAATCGATTAACCTACCTTGAAAAAATCAATATTCCAAAGTGGTTAAATAATACTGAATATCAAGAGCTTTTATCAATGCTGAACTTGCAGCAGAGACAATACTTGTACCATGTTACTGATCATATTCGTAACAGCAACAGCTCTATATCTGATCAACAACATACACTGTTTTATCATTTTGTAACGGGAGGAGCCGGCACTGGAAAAAGTCTATTGATAAAAGTACTTTATCAAAGTCTTGTCCATGAGTTTGACAAAACAAGAGAAAGAGATATGAGCACACCATCCGTACTTCTTTGTGCTCCAACGGGAAAGGCTGCTTTCAACATATCTGCTCAAACTTTGCACAATGCCTTCCATCTTCCTGTCACACAACGTGGAAGAGAAGGTCTTTCCTCACTCTCATCTGACGTCTCCCATTCAATGGGTGTTGCACTTGCAGACCTGAAAGTGGTTATTATTGACGAAATCAGTATGGTAGGAGAGACACTATTTGGATGGGTTGATCGAAGACTTCGAGATATTTTTGATAGATCAGTTCCTTTTGGTGGAAAATCAGTTATTGTATTTGGTGACTTCCTACAACTTCCACCAGTTGGGGACACATCACTTTACAGCACCAGCCATGCAAGAGATACAAATCCATTTGTATCCTTATTTGGGTACAAGATCTGGGATTTGTTTAAAGTTCATAAATTAACGGAGATAATGCGACAAAGAGACAATGTTCCATTTGCAGTAGCCTTAAACAACATGGCAATTGGGTCAATGACTGAAGGCAATATTCATATCCTCCAAAGTCGAGTGGCTTCAATAACTCCTGAAGATGCAATGGAAATTAGTACTGGCAGAAGAACATTACCTTCAAGCCTTGTAGCTCAAGAAAACAATTTATCTGAAAGCAGTAACCAAAAGCCGATATATCTGTTTAACACAAATGCATACGTTCAGCAAACAAACCAACACATACTTACCAGCTTAAATACTGAAGGTGCAATCTCCAAATCCTTTGACCGAGTAACTGGACATTGCAGGGATAGCACTGCTATTCAAAGACTCATACATTCTGCCGATGATCATGCAAAGCAATCCGATGTTCAGGGTCTGATAAAAACGCTTTTGCTAAAAATAAGTGGAAAATATATGATGACTGCAAACCTAGATACAGCAGATGGACTTGTCAATGGTGCAACTGGAATCTTGGAGAGGATTGATTATGACCAAAATATTGTACCAGACAGCACTGCCTCTGAAACATCTACTTCTACAGTTTTAAGAAAGCCATTAAGATTGTGGATTAGGTTTGATGATGAAAGAAGTGGGAAGCAGTTGAGGAGACAGCAACAAAGAATTCGATGTAGTCTTGGGATTTCAGACGATCTGACAATGATAGAACCACACTGTAACATAATTTGCAGAAATATCAAAAGTCAGATACATCTAACCCGTACACAATTCCCAATTGTTCCAGCTGAAGCACTCACTGTACACAAGTCACAGGGAGGCACATATAAATCAGTTGTTGTATTTGACCATGGATCACACAGAATGTCTCGATCACTCCTATATGTTGCATGTTCTAGAGCTACTTCTGCAGAAGGTTTAAAGTTAATATGCAAGGGTAACAGATTTGTTCTGCCTGGACCAATAGCAGAAGATCGAAACAATCAATTGAAAAATGAGCTCATTAGACAGCAGACAATACAGTTGGGATTATCATTTAGTCAACTACAAAAGGAAGAAAGAAGTGATTATATACAGCTAATTTCACATAATGTGCAAAGCTTGAGGGCACATATAAACCAGATAACCAGCAATCAAGTATACTTAACATCTGATATTATTCTTTGCAATGAAACTTGGACACTGCCTAATAATGAAGAATATGATATTCCAAACTTCACCATGATATCTCGCATAGATAGCCATTCAACCAATGCACAAGTTTCTGGTTCTTGCTGCTATATTCGTAGCTCTCTTTTACCTAGTACGAACAACTCAAACGACGATTCTTTGGTTTATACAACCAGTTCCAGAATGTCCATTGATGAAGCAGGTGGATCAACAAGCATATCATTATTTATATTAAGCAGCAGCTTATATTGCAGCATATATGTATCCCCACTATGCCAGCTAAATACCTTGATGGAAGCACTAGAATTTGTTGTTAGTCATACGTATATGCATATAACCATTGCTGGTGACTTTAATGTTGATTTCACAAAAGAATCGATCAAGAAAATGACGTTACTTCAATTTATGAATAACAGAAATATGACTACTACGCTCCCTAACACTATTCAATCAACAACAAGCCAGAATACTCTCATTGACAACATCTTTTCAACTATGCCAGTGCTGGATTCAGGAAGATACATATCTTTGACCAGTTATCATTCTCCTTTGTGGGCAAAATTTATGTAAATTATGCTAATTATTTTATACTATTCTTTATGCTTTTATTTTTTACTTATTTACGTAATTATATTTACATGCCTACTTCTCTATGTTTTCTGTTCTCTATGCTTCATGTTTTTTTATACAAATAAAACCAAAATAAAGTCACACAAGAAAAAAGAGAAAACCGAGTATATCGGAATATAGAACGCCTTACTTGATATAGACTTTGGTCTAAGCCGAGATGGTTTTCTATAGTGATATATGCATGTTTTATATTGAATTGACAAAAACAAATTACAGATTTAACAGCAGTTTATGCACTACAGTGGAGAAAATAGTAACATATTACTACTTTGGTAACATAACTGCCATTTTTTACTTAATAGAAAATGGTAGTTATGACTCTGTATAAGACCAAAACAGGCATGCTTACCATTTTTTCATATCATAAAATGGCAGTTATCTATTATATAAAAAGCCAAATCAGATACTTTTACCATTTTTTCAAAAAAAAATCAAGCGTCCTTCCATTCCTTTATTACATTCTTTCTTTTATTCTATTGCTTTCAGTTCCAGCACAACCTCTTGTTTTTTCTTTGCAGCTTGAACAGAATGATCTGTTTTTTATTATACAGTATTGAATCGGGCATAATTGAATTGAATCTTTATTTTAATACATGTTTTATTAAATGAAAATGATGATAATAATAATAATAATAATAATAATAATAATAATAGTAATAATAATAAGGAAAAAACAATTCCATTGGCCACTTGCAATAAAAAATGGTTCTGTTTAGCTACTGCAAAACATATGCAGTAAAACACTACTATTCAAATTGTATTTCATAAACTTTGGGTATTCTAATATATCTTAGATAGCACTTATTATGTTTTACTAATTTCTACAAATATATCAATATTAGAGAAAAAACTTAAAATAAATAAATAGATATAATATTATTATAATGCTTACCTTTATATAATATACTTGCTTGTTCAGTAAAACAAGCATTTACTCTAATATATATATATATATATTAAAGAATGTATTAATATTTAAGATCTACATATAAGAAAAGCAATAAAACATGAGCACTATAGAAAGTTATTATTGTAGAAGAAAACAAACTTGAGCAAAGATTCAAGTCATGTAACATACAGCTAATTCAAATCTAATTGATACAACCAGAATGAGCATCTTGTTAGAAAGCTCAAAGTGTCTATTCTACTCAGTATACTTACAATTAATAGAACGTCTCCCAAGTATAATATATCAGTACAAAAATATTACTATTAATTTTTTTCTAAAAAAAAGGCTATATACTATTTCCTTTTATATTTAAATGTAATGGAATATAGATGCTGTACATTAGCTTCAAATTCTTGTAATCACAACAATAGCAATTATTTGAAAGAGATCAATAAATTTTTTATATGAAAGAAAAACGAAAAAAAACGTAAAAAGACAAATGACAAGATAAGAAAAAAAATGCACTAAAGACAGACTAAAAAAATCAAACTCAGCCAATCACAGCAGCCAAACTACAGTCTTCTGCTTCTCTTGCGAGCAGGCTTGACACTTGCTGTGGGTGGAGAAGACCTACATAAAAGAGTAAGAAGTTTATATTAGTTTTGTATTAACAGCATATGAGAAAAAGCAACAATGATAATTTACAGTACATATGTCATTACAGGCAGCTCAACATCACCAGTTTCTGACATATCAGGAGAAGAAAGCAAAGAATCACTTATGTTTTGCTGTATTTATAGCAAAATAAAAGAAAATGATGTTAATTAAAGTTGACAATATATAGATTTGTTAATTGATGAACTTACTTTGTTCTTCTCTATCATTCTTCTCTTGTGCATCCAATTGTTGCTCTTGAAGCTTTCTCGGAGAAGACTTCTTGCATATCACATTGTTTTACATTGGTAGATGTGCAATTCATCATTCTTTGCCAACCTCTCCAAGTATATCATATACTATTCCCTGTTTTTCTCTGGAATATTCTTCCATTATTTTGAGGCCGCAGAATAATCTTTGTCAATGATATCATGCTTTACCATATGATTTAATGTTTTGAGATGCAGTATTTTTACTATCAAATCATGGTCTCTAAGAGGGACTAATAGGGGCAAAGACTGCCCTTGCGGAACGTCTTTGCAGTGCGCCTTTCAGTCCTGCTTGTGAAGAATCTGAAGCAACAGATTGTATTTTTGTGCTTTGTTTTTTCCTTTGAACTCACTGCCAGTATTGATCACTCACTTACCAAGCTGATCAGGGTACTCTGTGAGCTGGGCTCTTTTCACAGACTCAGGAATGTGCTCAAGAGCTACAAAAAATGTATCACAATATTAATAAAATAAATAAACATCTAAGTACAGAATATATATATCTTATAACTCTGCTCAATAATGCTTTGTTGCATTGTAGCTTGATCTTCCGCACTGACTGCTGGCGCAAATTGATTGCTGAATTGGCTTTGAAGCTTGTGTAATGTTTGTTTGATTTCAGCAAGATCAATCTCAAACTTTTGAATTGACTTGAGAAGAGTTATGTTAATATTGGACATGTTTAAGTTTTTTTTAGCTATAAGCAGTGAGTTGAAAAGAAAAGCTGATAGTTTGAACAAGCAAAATAAGAGCGATTTGAGTTTGAGAAAGGCAACGATTTATTACAAGAAATTGATAGCTATTTATATGAAAAAGATACAGACATATGTATAAACAAAACATATAGAAGAAGGGATGCTTATGCACTTGTATGTACCTGTCTGCACCTGTCTACAGTAGCTCATGTGAACATGACACAGTCTTTTTATGTCAACACAATAAAACTGTAAGAAATATAAAGATAAAATGAATTAGACTTTAAATCAATATTATATGTATAGATGTTCATACTTTGCACTGTCTACATATTAAATGTTTTAAAGTATATAATATCATAATATAACTTTATACATATTGCAGATATAGTATGCAATTTTGTTAAAGTTCTCAATGGTTAAATTTGTACCAGTTAAAATAATAACTTTAAATATACTCTACAGTAGCTATATAACATTTGAACATCATATAGTTAATTAACCCCTTTTTATCAACATTAAAGTAAATGTTAAGATACCCAAGTCCATATTATACTTATTAGCATTATTGACTAAAACATGTTTTGATTGATGTTGTCATGGAAGGTAAAAATAATTTTAACTGTCATTACTATTATTTACCAAGGGGCATTTTTGATTAAAAGTGTACATTTTTGAAAAAGGTGTGCTTTCACTCACATTAACACTTTCAATCAACACCCCTTTCGATCAGTAACGTTTATCTTGATGATGTCAGTAAAACAGTATCAGACTATAGCACTCATTATCTATATCTATTTTTTTAAGTTTTATACATAAACAAGAAAATAATGCTATTAGCTAAATATATTTTTACTATCTCAAAAATACTTTTAGTACAACACAGATAATATAAATATGTCTTTTCTACCAATGCATTTAGACAGTACTATTTTTTTTAACTGTTAATTATTAGAAGGCTGTTTTCTTTACTTTTGGTATTAGAGAGTAATTGATAATTTATTTAAAAAAAAACATAAAGTATTTGGTCGTTAATTATCCTAAATATATATATATCTCTTTATAAAGCCCAAAGAATATCTAATCGCTCACAAGTAAAGAGTACGTGTCTGTTTCACTGGTAATATTTTAATGACACCCCCTTGTCAACCAAGAAGTATTTTAACTTACATCATAATTATTAATGAAGAAGAATGATTCCAACCACGAGAACTATTTACTGACAGGTGTCTCACCTAGTATTGACATTACTGTAATCATTACTATATTATCATTATGAGAGAAAAAAAGAAAAAGAGCAGCAAAAATTTTGCTTAAAAAATAAAGAGTATATAAAGATGTCTTTTACATTTAATGAATAGCACCAAAATTTTCTTTGCAGTTTTATTTTATATATTACATATGTACCAACCCAACCAATATGTCTTCTTCCAACGTCAGCCAGCAGACAGATATAATATCTACATAGCAATACCAATGTGATCATTGTGTTTTGTTTTTTGATAACTACCAGAAGCTGCAAAACCACAAGAGAATTCACAAAGGAGATTTAGCAACAATGACTGAAATTGACCAGTTTATTCCGAATGATGTTGACATGTACCATGTCAAAAATGATACTAGTAATAATGATGAATCTGTTAGTAATGCAGGTAATGAAAAGAGCTGTAAGTGTATTATTTATTTTCCAATTACTAAATAATGTATTACACAATATACTATTGAGTCTATGGAGCTTAATAATACTATTTCATATAAGTGCGCATGTAATTTTGAGGACAGCGAGGGTGAAGCTCACATTTATGACAGCAGCCAAATCAGTACAAATACTTTTACAAAGGCCGAGTTGATGAGTATTCATCTGTCTCAATTGATGCTACAGCATAGAATTGCTAGAGCAGCATATAAAGACATTTTTCAATTTATAAACACTGCCATCCAAGACCATGATGATATAATGATGGCTAAAATATTATATTTTCTGTTACCTTATACTTTAATTCCAGATCACTAACATGTAGTGATATTGTTTTTTTTGAACCTAGGGCTAAGATCAGTTATGGCAAAACTGTTGATGCTTTGCTCAAGTCATAGTCAAGTGTTAAGGGCCATGAGTATGATGTCTGTTCTAGTGGTTGCCAATTATATGACATTAATGATAACCAGAAATCTTGTGTTGACTGCAGCAAACCGCAATACAAGACTGATCCCAAGCAAAGTCAGACACCAGCCACCAGTATGAAGCTAATGTCAGTTGGGGATATGTTTTCTCAAATATTGGCAGATCCAGCCACAAGAGAACTCCTCCGTTACAGAGCAAACCGGGAATCTGTAGCTGGTCAGCTAAGCAACATTTTTGATGGTGACAATTATAAGCAGTTGGTACAGCAGGGTCTGTTCTCCAATCCTGATGATATTGCCATTGAGCTTTATACCAATGGGTTTGCCAATGAAAAGAAAGGCAAAAACTCATATACCATCATCCATTGCATAATATTCAACCTAGACCCATCCATCAGATAATTAATTAATTTATTACTATTTCTTATTATTATTACAATTTTTTTAAAGAAAATTACTAATAAAATACTTAGATATACCAACAAATACCTTTTTCAACTGACAATCTTGCCTGGCCTCAAGAAGTCAACTTATTTGAACTCCTTTCTTATACCCATCATCAATGAATTGTGAGATCTTGAGGCATATGTCTTGGCTGTCAAGCGCAATGGAGTAGAGCTTTGCAGATCCAAGGTCTATCTGTTGCTTGCTTCTGGCGATATTCCAGCTGTAGCTGATATGGCCCACATTGGTTCCCATACAAGTTTATTTGGTTGCTGTTTTTGCAACAAAAGGCAAATGCCCTACTAACAGACGGCATGGCATGTACTTTGATGACATTTCCGTCTGGTTAAGACCTTTGGAAGACTTCAAAGTAGGCAACCCTGTAAGTATGCAAATGTTGAATTAGCTATTTTTTATACTAAATAACTGCTTATAATAGTCCAAGAACATATATCAGCCAAGCATATATACTCAACTCCCAACCTTCTCTGAATCATTTTTTTTATATTAGATGAACTTTATTTAATTGCAAGAGGAATTGGGAAGCTTGTATATGACCTGCTTATTACTACCCTCACAAAGGAAACGAAATTTTATTATACCCATCCAGAAAATACCTTTAATACTACTGAATACTCTTTTCATATACCAAGAGCAGACCTTGTAACAATTGAAAACTATATCACCAGCTCACAAAAATATATACCCACCTCATTTCAAGGCAGTTTTGACAACATATTTGTCAAGATCGATGGTACTTGCACTATGGCTAAGAAAGTGGCAACATTTTACAACTTTGGTAGCAGAACTGCCATTTTTTACATAATAAAAATGACAGATTTGACTCTGTATAACGCGATTAAAGGCATAGTTGCCACTTTTTTTTAAAAAAAGACTGAGATTCATTTGTTTTTTTTTTGGTTTTTTTTGCTCCACTGTATCCAATACCAGTATATCCCCTTGCTTTATTTTTGCCATATTAAACGAACCATTTATTGAATTGAATTGAAATGAATTGGAATGAATTGAATAGAATAACACTGGAAAAATGACCTGACATACGTATGTGTAAAGGCGTAGTTACTCAGGTGTCAAGACGAGGTTTAACATTGAGTCCAGATACATATCACCATGTAACAAGTTCGTCTTAGCACCATGTGCCATGACCAGCTATACACATGTGTGGGGTCAAATAAAAATGACGGGGATATAGTTCTTTAGCACTTTCGGTGAGTTGATCTGACTTGGGATATTGAAAAGAGTTTTTTGAAACCAAGGTTCTATTTTTATATGTTTTATATGGAGCTTTAAAGGTGGATAATATATTTATTTTCGATCTTGACACAGTAGTATAGTTCAACATTACACCTCTTCGTTATCTTTTATATCCAATTAAATTCAATACTTGAGCAATTCTTTGGATTCTGAACCATAGTATAGTTCAATCGTTTTTATTTTAATTTCAGAAATTGTTTTATTGGTAAAAGTTTATAATAGTATTTATTTGGAAAGAACAGAATGTTTCTAGAACTATAACAATCTTATAGTATTGATTTATTGGATATCCGTTATTGCTTCTACTGGTCTGCTTGATACTGTTTGAATAGAATAATTATCTACAGAAAAGAAATATCTGAAAATATAAAAAGAAAGCAGACTGTTTGTTGAAATACAACAGTCTTTAAGAAGCATAGAAAAATTATTAGCTGTGTGCTGGGTACTACATTTAATGTAGTATGCTTTTACATTTTGTGTACACTTTTATACTTACATTGTAAATATTGGAAAAGAGCGAGCAAAAAATAGATGTTGATATTGATAATCCATGGCGTTCCTTATGATGTCTTTCACTATAAAAACAACGAAAAACATTAATTTTTGTGAATCGAATAAAATAATAAATAATTTACATACCAGTAGCAAGAATATATATTAACAGAGATAGATTGTCTTTGTAAACACTTGATAGAACTCTAGTGAAAAATAATAATATTTTATGTTAACACATTATAATATTAATATAACTAAAATAAAAAATAAAGTAGTGATCCTTACCATGTAATGTTATTTCCAGCTGTATAATGTAAGGGAAATCAAAGATGGGATCAACAGTGTTCATCTATAATAAGACTTCATTTTAGTAAGATACATGTCAAAATAATATATATATATATACTACCTTGATGTTTTTAACCAAATTCATTTGTAGCAGTTATTCTTGATGATCAAGTCTGTAATAAAAAAAACAAGTCAGAAGGATTTTTATAGATGTCAATTTCGCAAAATATAATATTGACCTTTGTTAATCTGGACAGCGATTGTGAAATGAATGCATTTAAATGAGAGCAAACGAGTATCTATTATGATAATAAAAGAATGTATTACTTTTTATTGTTTATAAAAAAGTATTTAATAAAGAAGTATGTTACCAAAAAAAAAGCCACTAATATAATAATGACAAACGTTAGAAAAGAGGAAAGGAGCAGAAAAGAAGAAAGAAAAAGACGTAAATTTTTTTTCCGCGTTTGAAACAAAATACCAAAAAGCTTATCCAATAAACGATAGCAAAAAAAACTGAAAAGAGGTGATCAATTGAGGCCAAAAAATGTATCAAGGCCGATTTGCATCTCAGTGTTTCAAGAAGTTGTCTTTGAAGTGTTCCTGAAGCATCACTACCGCCTATATATACTTAATATTTCTACTTGCAATTCAATGTCACTCACTCTTGATTATATCATCTCAACAAATCTACGTTGCGAATTTATTGTAATTTACATAACAAAATAGATGGATTGTCTCTTACAAAAGAGAATAAAAAAGAAAAAGAACTAATATTAACAATTGAAAATATTATAATGTATTACAGATAATGCCTACCCCCAACTGCAGACTCGCTCCTTCTCTTGCTAGCACTGATGTCCAGTTGCTACAAGCTTTGAATGCAATGAAAGAAGAGATGAAGGCCATGAAGAATAAAATCACATTGATGGATACAAGAATCGGTGTAGTGATCACCGGTAACGCAACCGCCATTAATGGCATTGATGCCTTGTCTACCCTCCCAGCATCTGCGCATGTGCCCACTAGTGTGGCATCCACTTCTGCTGCCCTTCCCATCACCAAATCAAGTGATACTAACGCTGTATTTGTAAGTATAAAGATACAAAAGACACTTGCCAATCTTGTTGCTAATTAAAATATAATAGGGATACATTCATGGTTATATGTGGAACCCAAAGCTAAAATCAAGAGACCAGGCAGAAATCCAAGCAAACGCCATAAAACCAAAGTGGGCAGTTGATATTCGTTTTGATCGCTCTCCAAATAGAGAGTTAGTCAAACAACTCTTGTATTACTTGGAAAAGACGTTTGCTGGCACTGATATGAGGACACGCGACCTTCGTAAGTGTATATATACAAACTTCTGTAGTAGACATCGCCAGCAAAGGGAACTTCCGGAAACAAGACGAGCTTTGAATACTAATTCAAGAAGATCTGGCCGTGAAACTGATGTAAACTATATTTTCAATTTATGCTAAATAATAACAATTAGAATATTAATTGTATTGTCTTTTTCCTTTAGAACTACACTCTCCGTTGCCTTGCTTATGATGCTTACAAGGCTGACATTGATCTCAAGATGGGTCGAAACTGCTCTGGACTGATCCAAAAGTTGGTCATGTCTGAAGGCGAATCAGACGATGATATGTCCCCCTCTCAGCCAAGAAATGAGATTCGTGTTGCTCGCCCAAGTTGGAGAAGTGACGAGGTAAAACCTAACAGTTTTCTTTTTTGAATGATGCCAGGCTGAATGTTAATATATGTTTATTACTTAGCTTAACAAATTCATTACGGAGGTTGACTCGTTTGTTGTTAAGCAATTGGGTGCAAATTCCCGCCAACTGCTTAAGAGAGTTTATGATAGAACAGTGGAATCAACAGTCCCAATTGATTTAGATCCTGCTCTACCTCAATGGGCTCTTAAATATGGGTCATAAATAAAACTCATTTTTTGTCATTTTTTTTTCTTTTACTCTCAAAATTTCTTAACACATATGTATTGTTCGCAACATATATAATAAGACTACATTAGCTTATGTATTGAAATTTTTTATTAAAAAAGAAATGTATTAAATATTAATTGTATTGTTTGTGTGGTAAAGCGTTGACAAGGATTTTCTTATTATTTGTGCTGGTTTTATAATCACATGTTGCAACAACTGATGATATTTGATGTACTGGCAAGATTCATTCAAAATCACACGCAATAAAATCTGCACTGCAGATGTCAACACTTTCCAACTCTCTTGAATGGTCATGCTCAATCTGGAACCACTTAACAAATGCAAACACGTGTTTATCTTGATAAACGACACGTGTTTGGAGCTCTGTGTTGTCTACTGGTGGAGTGAAAGAGTGCAAAAACAGATACTGAATTTGGCCAGTGTATGCCAACCGATTATTGCCTTGACTTCCAAGGAACAGAGATTGAACAAATGAGCCACGACCAGAAGCATATTTGCAGCCTTTGTAAACCTGACCAAGCAAATTGATTGATTTCAACTTTATGATTTGGTTGTCGACAAAGGAGAATGGAGAGGAGGGATGCTGGTAACCTTCAAGATTTGGCATGCAGTATGCGACTTTATAGTAATCAAGCAAATGAGGATAGTCGACATCACTCATTGCTGATGGGGGTTCGATATGGAGAGGAAATGTGGATGGAGAAAGAGGTTCATTGCCAAGGACTGGAAGAGAAGGGTTTGAGTATGCTTGGATGAAGACTGATAGTCTGAACGGGTGCTGGGGAAAAGTTATTGTATTTTTTGAAGTGGAGGGTTGAGCTGTGGCAGTAAGCTTGGCGAGAAGAGGAAGAAACGGTACTTGGCTTGGGCATGTGAGAGCAGCATGAACGAAATCACCTTTGAATGTATCTTGGACGAAACTATTCATGTATGTAACCTCAAAGGAATCTTTTCTGTTCGTATTCACGTTCTTTAGCAGACAATTATATCGCTCAAACCCGAAGAGCCAATATCCATATACTGGTTCAAAATCACGGATGGTCTTGCAAAGATGGAGATGTAAATGCATGTTACAGGTGAGAATAGTTGGAGTGTAAATACGCTGGCACTCAGTACAGAATTCTTGAAGAAATTTATGGCCGTCGTCAATGTCAGAGAACGTGATGCTTGGCTTTACTAATTGGCAGCAGGCATCAACAAAACTGATCCAATTTCTGAACATTTCAATTGGCAGGACGGCCTTCAGCAAGATAGGCGAATACACTAGCACCCAGGACTTCCATTCATCAGCTTTCATGTATGGAAAGCCCTTTCTGATCTTCGATTTCAACACCACGTAATCCATTGGCACCACCATTGTCTCTGCCATTGCTTGCATCGTAGCTAGCTTTCTATTGTCTATCAGTCTTTCTTTTATCCACCGCTCCATCATTCTCTTTGGTGTCCCCAGGAATAAATTATGCATGGGATCGATGATCGTTCCACGTACTAGATCAAAGTATTCAAGGCGATGCAGCTGCGACCATCGAACACCATTTTCGATTTTCCAACTGATGCCTTTCTGAGGGCGTACTGGCACTCTTCCACTCCTCAGCATGCAACCTGTTTTCCAGACCGCTACGGATTTTCCACGTCAAATAGTCAAACCCACTGAAGTCGACCTGATTGGTGCTTGGTAACCTGGTAAACTGCCTCACACATCTGGGGCATGCACAAGTACTGTTGTGGGTAGTGAATCCACTGGTCTTCCTGGCAGCGGAGATGTCACAGGCAACCATATGTAATGCGGCACGTACCTTAACACCAGCTGGGCACTCAAAGGTCAGGATGGTTATCCCCATAAGCAACTGCAGCAATTCATCGACTATTGGCTTTAAATAGTGGTTGATCTCTTCGGTCTTTGGCTCCTTAGGACCAGGCATCAAACCAACAAGGATGACATTTTCAGGCTTAAATTTTTCCTCACGAGGCAAGTTATTTATCGCAAGGTAGATAGCTCCAGTTGAATATGTAATGCCATCAAATGGCTGGAACCAGTCGATGTTCATTGTTAGCATCAATGAACAAGGTTCATCCACAAATGATATGCCACTTTGGTCCTTTAGCTCCTTCCACATAGCACCATCATAGACGTCGCATAGTGTATCTACGACCTTAAGCTCTTTGTTCCATTGTCTGATTTTTTGCTCAAACCCAGAACGAAGAAAGAAAACTTGTAATGATCTCTGGATAGAGTTGTAGACGTATGATTGCTTGGCTACCATGGCACCAGAAGATGAAACCTTCATCAATTCACAATTGCATGCTGATTGAGAACCATGCTTTTTGAAGTCGCAATGAGTAGGGAGAGGCACATCTTGTTCGTAAACCTTGTGACAGTCTTTACATATAACAGACTTCTTGATACCATTGGCATAATTGGAAAAACCAGTCATTCTTTGCAGGCCAATAAGACTTGTTGGTAATTGGAAATCTTCACCATAGATCTTGAGTAACTGATTGATAAATTCAATCAATACGGCGGCACCTTTGTTAACAACATAACGTGAGATAAAAAGAACGGCAAAGGTAGCAATGAACCGATGGACAGGGTTTTCAGGCATGTTAGGAGCATCAAATGGGTCTATTTAAAATTAACAAAAATAAATTAGAACAAATTTTCTTTAGGTCTGTTTTTAAGAAAACAAAATCATTTATGACTGACCTTCATTAACAAACTCTTCAACGTCTGTCTCGACACCTTCTTCTTCACCACTGCCAGAGTCAGAGTTTATGTCTCTTTCAATGTCAGAGTCATTGCCATTGACCTCGCTGATCTCATCGTCTACTGAGACATTGTCAGCCATCGTGGTGGCATTCGAATCAGGTGAGTCGGCCTGATCGTCTATTTTTTTGATGGATTCAGATTGACAGGTCGGGATATATACAAATATAGATTAGTTTAGCTTATTGTCTCTACTGGTTTTCAAATATTTTTTTTTCTTTTCTTTTCTTACATTGGGTATCAACGTCCATCATTTGTTCTTCTTGCACAGCTGTGTTTCATTAAAATTAAAAAATAAAGAAGTTATTACTCAGTAATCGAAAAATAAACCCTGAATATAACATACTATTTGCCAATATTTCAGCCATATCCAGTCTCTCGATTCTCTCAAGCTCATCTTTTCTAATATGGCGCTAAGCGGTTCTGCTTGTCACCAATGAGTATCCCTGTGAATTTCTGCTACATTGAGCACAACGGCAGACAACATTACGGCGGTGGGGAATAGAAGACATTTTATGTGTTTTGTTTGATGTGATTTATTGAAAATAAAAAGAGGAACAAGCGTAAAATATACTTTATTTGCACCGACTTTATAGTAAAAAAAAAGCATTATATTTTATGGTTGTTTAATTAAATTCATCTAACAAGTTCTTTTCTATATTATTAAATATAGAAAGAGACATGACAATTATGATATTATCAATTCATAGTCTTTATTCAAATGTTTTCAAGAATGCCTGTTGTGTGTAAAAGACATATATTTTTCTACTATGAGTTTATAAATAGATTATTGCGAGAGTAAATCCAGAAAATAGTAGGAATAAAAAAAAAGGGGTAGTAGAATGAGAATTATGATAGGTCTCTGTATGTGAATTTAGCCTTCCGTACCAGACTGATATTCTAAAATTCTTTTAGCCAATGAAACCAACTAAAACTACATCTTTGACCTGAACTTCAAAAAACACACTGAGTTGAAAAAAATCACTATTTCTACACATGTGTTTACCAACCTGGCCACATTGTTAATCAGGGCGGTTTTTCCAGTGTTTGTTAAGCACTTTGTCAAGCACTTTGTTAAGCACTTTTTGTTAAGCACTTTGTTAAGCACTTTGTTAAGCACTTTTTGTTAAGCACTTTGTTAAGCACTTTGTTAAGCACTTTGTTAAGCACTTTTTGTTAAGCACTTTGTTAAGCACTTTGTTAAGCACTTTGTTAAGCACTTTGTTAAGCACTTTTTGTTAAGCACTTTGTTAAGCACTTTGTTAAGCACTTTGTTAAGCACTTTCACTACGGCGGAGAAAATGGTAACATGTTACCACTTTGGTAACATAACTGCCATTTTTTACTTAATAAAAAATGGCAGTTATGACTCTGTGTAAGGCCAAAACAGGCACTGTTACCATTTTTTACATAGTAAAAAATGGCAGTTATTTATTATGTAAAAAGTCAAAACAAGCACTGTTACCATTTTTTTCATAATAAAAAATGGCAGTTATTTATTATGTAAAAAGCCAAAACAGGCACTGTTACCATTTTTCAAAAAAAAAATCAAGCGTCCTTCCTTTCCTCTATTATATTCTTTCTTTTGTTCTATTGCTTTCAATTCTAGCACAACCTCTTGTTTTTTCTTTGCCGCTTTAACAGAATGGTCTGTTTTTTATTATACAATATTGAATCGGGTTTAATTGAATTGAATCTTTATTTTAATGCATGTTTTATTAAATGAAAATGATAATAATAATAGTAATAATGAAAAAACAATTCCATCGGCCACTCGCAATAAAAAATGGTTCTGTTTAGCTACTGCAAAACGTATGCAGTAAAACACTACTATTCAAATTGTATTTCAGATACTTTGGGTATTCTAATATATCTTAGATAGCACTTATTATTTTTTACCGATTTCTACAAATATACTAATATTAGAGAAAAAACTTAAAATAAATAAATAGATATAATATTATTATAATGCTTACCTTTATATAATATGCTTACTTGTTCAGTAAAATAAGCATTTACTCTAAGAATATATATATATATTAAAGAATGTATTAATATTTAAGATCTATCTATAAGAAAAGCAATAAAACATAAGCACTATAGAAAGTCGTTATCGTAGAAGAAGAAAAACTTGAGCAAAGATTCAAGTCATGTAACATGAAGCTAATTCGAATCTGATTCATACAACCAGAATGAGCATCTTGTTAGAAAGCTTAACGTGTTTATTCTACTCAATATACTTACATATAATAGAACGACTCCCAAGTATAATATATCAGTACAAAAATATTACTATTAATTTTTTTCCCAAAAAAAAGGCTATATACTATTTCCTTTTATACTTGAATGTAGCGGAATTGTAGATGCTGTACATTAGCTTCAAATTCTTGTAATCACAACATTAGCAATCATATGAAAGAGGTCAATAAATTTTTTATATGAAAGAAAAAAGGAATAAAAAACATAAAAAGAAAAATGACGAGATAAGAAAAAAAATGCACTAAAGACAGACTAAAAAAATCAAACTCGGCCAATCACAGCAGCCAAACCACGATCTTTGGCTTCTCTTGCAAGCAGGCTCGACACTTGCTGTGGGTGGAGGAGACCTACATAAAAGAGTAAGAAGTTTATATTAGTTTTGTATTAACAGCGCATGAGAAAAAGCAACAATGGTAACTTACAGCACATCTGCCATTATGGGCGACTCAACATTACCAGTTTCTGACATATCAGGAGAAGAAAGCGAAGAATCACTTATGTCTCGCTGTGTCTATAGCATAATAAAAGGAAACGATGTTAATTAAAGTTTACAATATATAGATTTGTTAATTGATAAACTTACTTTGTTCTTCTCTGCCATTCTTCTCTTGTGTGTCTGGTTGTCGCTCTTGAAGCTTTCCCAAAGAAGGCTTCTTGCACACCACATTCTTTTATATTCGTGGATGTGCAATCCACCATTCTTCGCCAACCTCTCCAAATGCATCATGTAGTATTCCCTGTTTTTCTCTGGGATATTCTTCCATTCTTTTGAGGCCGCAGAATAGTCTTTGTCAATGATATCATGCTTTACCGTACGGCCTAATGTTTTGAGATGCAGTCTTTTTACTGTCAAATCATGGTCTGAAAGAGGGACTAATGGGGGCAAAGGCTGCCCTTGTGGAACTTCTTTGCAGTGCGCCTTCCAGTCCTGCTCGTGAAGAATCTGAAGCAACAGATTGTATTTTTGTGCTTCGTTTTTTCCTTTGAACTCACTGCCAGTATTGATCACTCACTTACCAAGCTGATCAGGGTACTCTGTGAGCTGGGCTCTTTTCACAGACTCGGCAATGCACTCAAGAGCTACAAAAAATGTATGACAATATTAATAAAGTAAATAAACATCTAAGCACAGAATATATATGACTTACAACTCTGCTCAATAATGCTTTGTTGCATTGTAGTTAGATCTTCCGCACTGACTGCTGGTGCAAATTGATTGCTGAATTGCCTTTGAAGCTCGCGCAATGCTTGCTTGATTTCAGCAAGATCAACCTCAATCTTTTGAATTGAGTTGAGGAGAGTTGTGTTAATATTGGACATGTTTAAGTTTTTTTTTAGCTATAAGCAGTGAGTTGAAAAGAAAAGGTGATAGTTTAGACAAGTAGAATAAGAGCAATTTGAGTTTGAGAAAGGCAACGATTTATCACAAGCAATTGATAGCTATTTATATGAAAAAGATACAGACAGATGTACAAACAAAACATATAGAAGAAGGGATGCTTATGCACTTGTATGCACCTGTCTGCACCTGTCTACAGTAGCTCATGTGAACATGATACAGTCTTTTTGTGTCGACACAACAAAACTGTAAGAAATATAAAGATAAAATGAATTAGACTTTAAATCAATATTATATGTATAAATGTTCATACTTTGCACCATCTACATATTAAACGTTTTAAAGTATATGATATAATAATATAACTCTATACATATTGCAGATATAGCATGAAATTTGGTTAAAGTTCTCAATGACAAAACCCTGTACCAGTTAAAATTATAACTTTAAATATACTCTACAGTAGCTATATAACATCTGAGCATCATATAGTTAATTAGCCCCTTTTTATCAACATTAAAGTAAATGTTATGATACTCAAGTTCATATCATACTTATTA